TTCCCTTCTTCCACGCCTGAACCGGTGTCTTCCTCTGTTCTTGCTCTGGCTGCCCTCTTGGCCGCTAATCGCCCAATCTGTGGATTCTGCCTGAGCTTTTTTCCCCTCACTTCTGACTTCTGCTGCCCAGCTTCGCTGCGGGCATGAATCTAGACATGAAAAAGAAAAATAACACTAATGGTAAGTTGCTCATGTTAATCGACTTCTCATTAAGGCCAAAGCATCATGTTAAGTGCTTGAACCTTCTGTCGATCCCTTGATGCTTTTTTTAAAAATGTTTATCAGGGCAGCTGAGTGGTTCAGTTGGTTAAGCATCTGACTTCAGCTCAGGTCATGATCTCACAGTTCGGGAGTTCGAGCCCTGCATCCGGCTCTGTTCTGACAGCTCAGAGCCTGTAGCCTGCTTATGATTCTGTCTCCCTCTCTCTCTGTCCCTCCCCTGCTCACACTCCCTCTCTTTCTGTCTCAAAAAAAATTAATAAGATTAATAAAATGTTTATTTTTGAGAGAAACCGAGTATGAGCAGGGGAGGGGCAGAGAGAGAGGGAGACAGGATCAGAAGTAGGCTCTGTGCTGGCAGCAGCAGAGAGCCCGATGTGGGCCTTGAACTCATGAACCTGAGCCTAAGTCGGACACTCAATCAACTGAACCACCCAGGCGCCCCAACCCCATGGTGCTTTTATACCCATTCTACAGATGAAGGAGTTGAGGCTCAGGAGGGTTATGTCATTTCACCAAGCACCAGCAGGTGGCCAGCAGGGTTTACCCCTTCTGCAAAGCCCGGCTGCTGTACACACATCAGTTTCCACCTCCCTCACTCTCCCTACTCGGGCCCCCTCCCCCTGCAGCCTGACAGCCCCACCCCCAGCTCTGTATTTAAACACTTCACCTTAGGGTGCCTGGGTGGCTCAGTCTATTGAGCATCTGTGACTCTTGGTTTTCGGCTCAGGTCATGGTCCCTGGGTCGTGGGATGGAGCTCCACCTGACAGTGTGGAGCCTGCTTAGGATTCTCTCTCTTCTCTCTCTGTCTTTCCACTGTGCTCTCTCTCTATCCTCTCTCTCTCAAAATAAGTAAGTAAACATTTCTAAATAAATAAATAAATACATGCCTCACCTCTACCACTCAGGGACGGACCCCACATTTCAACTCTGGACTTACTCGTCGCGTCTAACACTTGAGAATAATTCAGGCCTCCATTCCTCTGAATCGCCTCTGCCTTCCTTCTGCTTCACCCCTTTGCAAGCTCCTATCTATATTCTGAGACAGGCCACGTGTTGCCTCCTCTGTGAAGCCATCCATGATTCCCTTGAGCAGAGTTGGTCTCTTTCAGCTGTGTGCTCAAACACCCTCCTTCCCGAGCCTCTGTGATAGCAGATGATGGCTGTTTCCCGTCACTGTCTCCCACACGAGACTGTGAGTTCCCAGAGCCCAGAGGCCGTGTCTCATTCACTCCTGAGCTCTGGTGCCCAATAAAAGGCTTGGACCTATCTGTCAGTCTGTCTGTCTATTATCTCATTATCTATCCATGTAACCATTCATTCAGCAGATACCTATGAAGTGGTTCCCAGAGAAACAGAGGTGAGGGATACGGCCCGGAGTCAGAGAAACATGAAATCGCTCCTCAGCGTGGCACTCAGGCTGCTCTGTGCCTTCGCCACCTTCTCTAATGGCCCAATACCACACTCAGCAGGAGCCTTGTGCTGATTCGAGTCTGGCCTTGTACGCGTCTGGTACATGCTGGCTGCCATCATTACTGTTATGAATCATGAAGACAATGATCTGATGCTGACCGTTACTTCTTCTGCCAGCCAAGCCCTGCGCTCCCTGCTGGGGAGAGGGGTGAACACGCCAGCCGCAGTCCTTGGGTCCCTGCTGTCAGCCATTAAACTCCAGTGAGGAGAGCAGGCGTTAAGGGAGACTGCTCCAGAGCCAAGTTTCGGATGCCATTTGTGCAAAGCGGCAGGTGGATGGATGGGTTGTGGAGGGGTTTAGGAGGACAGGATCACCGCTGTCTGTCTCGTGGAGCCCATCCGAGGCCCCTTAGGACTAAAGCCCAGCCTCACTCTCCGCCCCCACTTAGAGCACTGGCCTATCCGCTGAGTGATGGGTTCAAGGTGCCTGCCTTCTGTGAGGCTTGGGACCTCCAGCCTCCCCCGTGCCCCTTACCCCCCTGAGCAGGCTGTAGGCAGTCTCTTGTAGCCAGATTATCTGACTCCCCTGGCCCAAGAATGCAGGTTTCTTCTGTTTGCCCAATGACAGGCAGTTTAGCCAATGGATAAGGACACAAACCCCCTGGTGTCACCTAGCCTGGCCTCAGATTCTCTGTCATTTAAGAGCTGCATGAAATAGCAGTTTGCTTTAACTCTTCTGCCTTAATTTCCTTGTCTGTAATAGGGAAAATAAGACTGTGTGTTCTGTATGGCACAAAAACAGACACTCAGATCAGTGGAACAGACTAGAGAACCCAGAAATGGACCCACAAACATATGGCCAACTAATCTTTGACAAAGCAGAAAGAATATCCAATGGAATAAAGACAGTCTCTTCAGCAAGTGGTCCTGGGAAACGGGACAGCGACATGCAGAAAAGGGAACCTGGATCATTTTCTTACAACATACACAAAAATAAACTCAGAATGGCTGAAAGACCTAAACATAAGACAGGAAGGCATCAAAATCCTCGAGGAGAAAGCAGGCAAAAATCTCTTTGACCTCCGCCGCAGCAACTTCTTACTCAACACATCTCCAGAGGTAAGGGAAACAAAAGCAAAAATGAACTTTTGGGAGCTCAGCAAAATAAAAAGCTTCTGCACAGCAAAGAAAACAATCAGCAAAACTCAAAGGCAACCGACAGAATGGGAGAAGATACTTGCAAATGGCCTATCAGGTAAAGGGTTAGTATCCAAAATCTATAAAGAACACCCAAAAAACATACAGTCCACTGAAGAAATGGGCAAAAGACATGAATAGACACTTCTGCAAAGAAGACATCCAGATGGCCAACCAACACATGAAAAAATGCTCAACATCACTCCTCATCAAGGAAATAAAAATCAAAACTCCAATGAGATACCACCTCACACCTGTCAGAATGGCTAACACGATGGCCTGTCTGCTGAGTAAAGGGTTCAAGGTGTCTACCTTCTGTGAGGCTTGGAACCTCATAGGAAACAAGAGATGTTGGCAAGGATGTGGAGAGAGAGGATCCTTTGCACTGCTGGTGGGAATGCAAACTGATGTAGCCATTCTGGAAAACAGTACGGAGGTTCACCAAAAAATTAAAGACAGAACTACACTACCATCCAGCAATTGTACTACTAGGTATCCATCCAAGAGATACAGGTGTGCTGTTTCAAAGGGGCACATGCACCCCGATGCTTATAGCAGCGCTATCGACAATAGTCAGAGTATGGAGAGAGCCCAAATGTCTGTTGACAGATGAATGGGTAAAAAAGATGTGGTACTATATACACGATGGAGTATTACTCGGCAGTCAAAAAGAATGAAATCTTGCCATTTCCAACGACATGGATGGAACTGGAGCATATTATGCTAAGCGAAATTAGAGAGAGACAAAATCATATGACTTCACTCATATGAGGAATTTAAGATACTAAACAGATGAACGTAAGGGAGGGGAAGCAAAAAGAATGTAAAAACAAGGAGGGGGACAAAACATAAGAGACTTAAATACAGAGTACAGAGGGTTGCGGGAGGGGTTGTAGGAGGGGGGATGGGCTCAAGGTAAGGGGCGTTAAGGAATCTACTCCGGAAATCTTTGTTGCACTGTATGCTAACTCACTTGGATGCCAATTGAGCAATTAAAAAAAAAAAAAAGACTACACCTTCTATAGGGCTGTTACAGGACTCAGTGAGACTAACATATGGAGGCACTGAGCACAGCGCCCAGCACGCTGTGGGTCCTGCTGGTGTGCTGTGCTCGGGCACAGGCTTCACCCCGGGGAGCCAGATGCTTGCTGATGCCCCACATACGTCAGCAGCAGGTGCCGGCTCAGCCAGGGAGGGGGAGATGTCCCCTCTCCGGGGCTCACACTGTACAGAACGGTGCAGGGCCTTCAGGCAGCTGTAGAGACGGGCAGGGCAGCATCTTGGCGCCTCTAACAGTACCATAGCCTGGGAGCTGAAACAACAGTTTTTCTCATAGTTCTGGAGCCTGGAAGTCCAAGATCAAGGTGCCACAGTCAGTTGCTGCTCGGGGCTCTTCCTGGCATATGGACTCCGTGACTCCTCACATGGCACAGACTGGGGGCTCCAGACTCTCCCTTTCACTTCTTTTTATTTTTTTTATTTTTAATGCTTTATTTATTTCTGAGAGAGAGACAGCATGAGCAAAGGAAGGTCAGAGAGAGAAGGAGACACAGAATCCAAAACAGGCTTCAGGCTCTGAGCTGTCAGCACAGAGCCCAGTGCGGGGCTCGAACTCACGAACCGTGAGATCATGACCTGAGCCGAAGTTGGACGCTCAACAGAATGAGCCGCCCAAGCACTCCTCCTTTCCACTTCTTATAAGGACACTGATCCCATCGCGGGGCCCCACTGTGGTGACCTCGTCTAAACCCAGCTGCCTAACTGCCTCCCCAAAGTCCCACTCCCAGATTCCGACGCATGGCGATTAAGGCTTCAACATAAAGAGTGGTGAGAGGCCCCAGACATTCGGTCTGAGACGGGGACATCGTAGCAGGGATGGTGAGTGGGCGCCTTAGGAGAGGGAGTCTGCGTCTTCCAAGGGACCTCAGGAGCCCTTCACTGAAGAAGTCCTCCTGAGCCAGGGCTTGCGAGGAGACTCAGGATTGGCCAGGCGGGCAGAGGGCCCCGCAGGTGTCGGGAGCAGCGTGCACCAAGGCCAGGAGGCGTGGGAGGTCACTGCGCCCTCTGCTTGTGCCCTTTGGGCCGGCTGGACGGGAGCGGCTGGCCAGATGGGTCGGATGTAATCCTCGGCCCACGTGCCGTGTGCTCCCCGCCGCCCCTCTGTGCGCAGGAGCTCCAGGAGCTGGAAAGGAAGCTGGAAGAGAAGCTGGTGCACCAGGAGGCTGTGCAGCTGCAGCGGGCGCTGGCCAGTCGGCAGCAGTGGGCCGGCGACGGGCCCGGGCTTCTCAACGAGCCTGAGGACGCGGATGCTGACAGGCAGGTCTCCGCTGTGCTGCAGCAAGCCCTGGGCAAGGGCCGGAAGTTGCTGGAACACCACCAGCAGAGGTGAGCCCAATGCCCCGGAGTGCCGCGTGGTGTCAGTACCCTGCACGCCTGGGGGCACCCCGCCTCCCAGGTCCACTGGACACTGTCCCCAGGTTGTCAGGCTGTCGTCTCAGGGTCCTCCAGCGCTCAGACACCAGCTGCTAACATAGCACGCTTCGTCCCTGACATCTTCCTATACTTTGTCTCACTGAGCTTTTTAAAAAACTCAGCATGTTTTTTTAAAGTTTTTATTTTTATTTTATTTATTATTATTTTTTTAAATGTTTTATTTATTTCTGAGAGAGAGAGAGAGAGGCAGCATGAGCAGGGGAGGGTCAGAGAGAGAGGGAGACTCAGAATCCAAAGACAGGCTCCAGGCTCTGAGCTGTCAGCACAGAGCCCGACGCGGGGCTCGAACCCACGAACCGTGAGATCATGACCTGAGCCAAAGTCAGACGCTTAACCGACTGAGCCACCCAGGTGCCCCCAAAGTTTTTATTTTTAAATAATTAGAGACTCACAAGAAGTGGCAGAAACAGTGCGGGGAAGCTCATGTGCCATTCGCCCAGCCTCCCCCCAAGGGCAGTGTCGTTCTAACCACAGGGCGGTAGCCAAACGCTGACCCAGTACAGCGAATGCAGGCCTTACCTGAGCTCCCCGTAAACATAACCGTTTGCATCCTGCTTGAACAGGCTGGACCCCGGCCTGTTGTGAGGGCTGCGCTCTGCATTCTAATTAACAGACAACTGGCCTTTGCCCGTGGCATTAAGAATTCTTTGAAGACGTAATTGTTAACATAGCTTCATAATTTTCCACTGTGAGTATAATATTGATGTGGAAAAGGTGGGGCACCAACTATAGACGCTGTGGGATTCCCTTTGTGAGAACACACACGCAAAAATTAATTAGAAGGAAATAGACCAAATTGTAATGGATGAGACTCCTGGGTGGCAGGATTATGGGCTGTTTTAATTGATCCGATTATGCTTTCCTGGAAACACGACATCAAAGTGCAGGTCCGTTCCACCGGGCTGATTACCAGAGAGGGTGAAAATGTGACGTCAGAGGGAAAGGCTCAGGGATCTTGACCTGATTTCCACCAGGATTTTCGAGTATATGATGCCCTCATGCGGGTATTTTCGAGTATACGCAGCCTCATGCTTCATGGGGGACATTGCAGGTGGAAAAAGCTTTTGGCATGAATTTGGGTTGTGCTAGCCAACGAGAATGCGGGGGAGGGGGAGGTGCCTGGGGGCTCAGTCGGTTAAGCGTCTGACTTCGGCTCAGGTCATGATCTCACAGTTCGTGGGTTCAAGCCCTGTGTCGGGCTCTGTGCTGACAGCCAGCTCAGAGCCTGGAGCCTGCTTCAGATTCTGTGTCCCCCTCTCTCTCTGACCCTCCTGTGCTCACACTGTCTCTCTCTCTCAGAAATAAATTTAAAAAAGAAAAAACATTAAAAGTTAAAATAAAAAAAAGAATGCGGGTGGGTATTCAGTGGCACCACCTCTGTCAGCTAAGGCACTGGTTGGGCAGGCCTTCTGGTGATGAAGTTAGAAAGCCTGAGAGGGACCCTCACGTGAAAAGATGCTGCCATGTGGCCAGAGCCAGGACCAGGCGAGGAACGCGGTGCTGGGTCCATTTCCACACGGGGAACATGGTGGGCTAGGACCCCAGGACTTGATCCTTCTCGAGCCTGACAACTAAGCTTGAGACTTTTTCAAGGAGGACCACAGATGGCCCAGCAGAGCCACAGAAAAGGCCCCCCCAAAACTTCTCCCCTTGAGGAGCCCCTCTGTCCTGGTGGGCCTCCATAAAGGGTTATTCGCAAAGTCCTCGAGGCAAGAAGCTAAGCCTCTGTGGCCATCTCTTTTGATAGATATCCTTTAAAAGTGTAGATTCATGATTTTTTTTAACGTTTCTTTACTTTTGAGAGGGAGGCAGAGAGAAGGAGTGTGCAAAAGCAGGGGGAGGGGCAGAGAGAGGGAGACACAGAATCCCAAGCAGGCTCCAGGCTCTGAGCTGTCAGAGCCCGACGCGGGGCTCGAACCCAGGACCTGGGAGATCATATCCTGAGCCGAAGTCGGACGCTCAACAGACTGAGCCCCCCAGGCGCCCCTTGTGGTCATTACTGAAATGACTAGATGTCTGCATTCCAGCTGGAGGGAGGAGCGAGACCACAGCGCCGTGCTCGAAGATTTGCTGGAGAATGTGGAGTTCGACACCTTCACCGCCCTCTACAGCCAGGTGAGGACCCGTATTCTGGGCCAGCCCTTGTCAGCACGTCATGTCACCTGTTCCCCCCAGGGCTCGCGTCCTCACCTGTAGCACGGGGGGCGGGGGTGACATGGAGCCCGGGGAACTGTTGAACGGATTTATGACAGGCACCTGGCCCCGGGCCAGCAGGCAGAGGACGTCCCACCGGGCACAGCGGTCGCAGCAGCGGCAAGAGTAGCGACCGCCCCGATCAGCTGCTTTTCTGAGACTGAATGTGCACCCAGACATTCTATTCCTATTCTCAGTCTGGCACGAGTGTGACATGCACAGAGTAGGCGCCACCAGGAGCAGAGCTGGCCAGGAAATCAGGTTTACTCCCTTTAAATGCTCTCGTCTTTCCATTGCATGCTGCTTCACATTCCCTTGAAAGCAAGCTGCATCCTCATTGCTTCACGGATCAAATGGGAAGGGGATGCCGCTTGAGAAATGAACGGCACTAACCCAGCGAGGCGGAAGCTTCCCTGTGCTGTGGGAGGGCCCGGGACCCCCTCTGCGTCCCTCGCTGAACCCTGTCCTTACCCCCTGGTGGCTACAAGACCGCAGCCATCTGTACACGAGGTGGAATTTTTTCTTTGTCACGCAAGGCATGACTTAGAGTCCACGTAACTTCAAAAACCCTGACATCCTCTGAAGAGGCTTCGTTCATGAATAAATATTTGCTGTGCTCCTAATAAGTATCAGGGACTGTCTTGGACACTGGGATTTCAGCAGTAAACATGACAGATAAAGGCCATGCTCTCAGAAGCTGATATTCTAGAGGGGAAAGCAGGGAATAAACAAAATAAATGCATAAACTGAATAGTACTTTATGTGCATTATGATCTCATTTTTATAGTTAGTCCACCCACCCACCTGTCCATCCATCCATCCCTCCCATCCATCCATGCCCCCATCCTTCTATCCCCCACCCATCCCCCATCCGTCCATCCACCTCTCTGTCCATCTATCCATCCATCCATCCATCCATCCACCCACCCACCCACGCTGGGTGATGCGACGGAAGCAGAGGTTGGAAGGATACACTTTAAAGATGCAGGAAGGCCGTGAGCCAAGGCAGGCAGGCAGCAGTGAGAACCTGGAAGAGACAGGAAGACGTGTGCCCCGCCCCCCCAGAGCCCGAGCAGGGGGTCCCCAGTTGACATCCTGACTATAGCCCGGTGGAAATGACCTCAGACTTTCGTCCCCTGGGCTGCAATGTTGTTTGGAGCCGCTGCTTGTGGCTCTCCAGTGTGAGGACAGGTCTACACGCTCTGGCTCATTTTGTGCTCACAGAATCCTCTGCTATAGGTATTCTGTCACCCCGCTTTACAAATAAGAAGCTGAGGACAGAGAGAAATAAAGGCACTGCCCCAGGACACAGCATCCTGTCTGCAGTGAAGCAGGAAGTGGGTCTGCCAGAGTGCGGAACCCATTCTCTGTCTCTCTCTCTCTCTCTCTCTCTTATTTTATTTTGAATCAATTTAGGGGCGCCTGGGTGGCTCAGTCAGTTAAGCATCCGCCTCTTGAGTTTGGCTCAGATCATGGTCTAGTGGTTCATGAGATCGAGCCCCAAGTCGGGATCTGTGCTGACAGCATGGAGCCTGCTTGGGATTCTCTTTCTCCCTTTCTCTTTCTCTCTCTCTGTCTCTCTCAGAATAAATAAACTTAAAAAAAAAAAGATACAAAACAATTTTAGATTCCCAGGAAACTGCCAAGCTAGTATAGAGAGCTCCAGTACCCCACCCTGTTTCAGTTTCCCCCCATGGTTGCATCTTACAAAACTCATACAATATCAAAACCAGGAGACTGACGTCGATTACAAAGTGTGTGTCTAGTTCTGTGTCATTTTGTCACGTGTAGATTCCTGTAGCCGGCACCACAATCAAGATACAGAACTATTCCCTCGGCACAAAGACCTGCCTTGCGCACCCCACTCCCCACTCCCCACCCCCAACCCCCAGCAACCACCGAGCTCTTCTTCATCTCTACGTTTTGTCAGTCCTGGAAGGAAAGATGCACGACCCCTTACAGTCCGTGACTGTGGAGATTGGCTATTCTCACCAGTATCCATCCAGGGGTGGCCGTGGCCTAAGTGGGGACCATTCCCGCTTGGCCCCGCCGCGGCCACGGAGCAGGAGTTGAGAGCATCTGGGAGGCTAGATGAAGCTTTTGGACGCGTCCCGGTGACCAAATAGATTCTTCTTGACAGCTCTGTGAATTTGGGAATGTGCTTTCAAGACCGAGCTGCTAAAATGTGTATCTCCCTGGGACAAAAAGTCCCAAGACCGTCATCCATTAACACGTGTTGTTCGTCACGGGCAGCGCGGTGAGGTCACCAGCTCCCTGTTAACCCCTCTAGGCGCTGAGACTGGCGTCGTACCTGTCCAGGCTGGCGATGGTGCCCGGGGGCACGCTGCGCCGGCTCCTGACCGTGGCTCTGCCCGGGGCCTCGCCGGCCGAGCTGCTGGCCGCGCTGGACTCGGGCAGCCAGAAGCATCCAGACCACTCGGCGGAGAACGATGGTGGCGGGGAGCAGGCCGACCCGGGCAGGAGGAGGTGAGTGCCGTATCCAGGCTGCTTTTGGAAAACGGGGTGAGATTGCTTGAAGGGAACAAATGGAAGGAGGAGGCGGGCCCAGGACACACACACACACTTTCCTGGGTCGGCATTCATTGCTCACAGAGCAAAGGACATCCAGACTAGGGGCCGCGAATCCGTTTGAAGTCATGGTAGGCCTGAGTATTTCGTCCAGAGTTTTTTTTTCATCACCAGTTTATTGTTCCAGTGAAGTCTTACGTGCTTCCCAGCCACAGATGTCATACACACACACATTAAAGCTCGAACAGTGCATGAAAGGAAAAAGAAGGAAAAGAAATATTGGCTGTTAACGTTTTCTTACAGTTCTTCCTCCAGAATGTGTTTCCTTGGGGGGTTTATGAGTGTGCTGGGTGTGTGTGTGAGTGTGCAGAAACATGTAGGAGTATGTCTGCGTGGGCAGCAGCCCCAGTGTATGCCCCCTCCCCCCTCACAGCCGTACCTGCGGGCAAGGGCGCCTAGTTCCTTCTCTCTCCTGTGCGGTAGAATCGTCTTTCTGTACAATCACGATCACACCGTGTAGACGCTATTCTCCGCTGTTTTATTAGTTTAAAACCCATACTTTTCAGTTACTGAAACACCTTCATAGGTGTTGTTAACCGTTCGCTGCCCTCCGGCTGGAAGTTTGGTTTGGACCCGTGCCTTCCTCAGTGACAGAAATGCTGCAGAGACACCTCCCTTGAGGATCAGGTGCCAGGTGTGAATTTGGGCATCACGGGCCCTTTGTAAGGCAAGGCGGCAAGCAGGGCTGTGGAGCGAGGGGGTCTGGGGAGCACAGCAGCGCCACTGGAGAATCGAGTTTGAGGGGGACGCGGTGGCGGGAAGAGCCGCAGCCCTCCCGGAAGGAGTGTTGAGCCCCGGGGGGGGGGGGCTGGGGGTGAAGCCCGCCTCCTCCGCAGGGACCCACGAGTCCTCCGGAGTGGGGGCAGTGTCTTTGTATCCATCTCAACACAAGAAGGTGAGACGCACAGCCAAGGGCGAAGAGTAGGGCTGGGAGAGACGCAGGGTGGGACTGTGGGGGCAGTAGCTGTGGGGTAGGGGTGCGAGTCCGCAGGGGCGGCGTGCCTCCCTCAGCGCGGCAGCAGTTAGGCGCTGGGTGTGGGCGTGGGCAGGGCTGAGTGTGGGTGTGACCTGGACCAGGTGGGTGTGGTCAGGGCTGAGTCGGTGTGGGCAGTGCTGGCATGGGTGTGGTCAAGACCTGTGTTCCAGTATCAGGACTGAGTGGATGTGGTTGGGGCTGGGTGTGGACGTGGCCAGAGCAGTGTGTGGGCGTGGTCAGGCCTGAGTGTGGGCCTGGTCAGGGCTGCTGTGGACGTGGTCAGGTCTGAGTGTGGGTGTGGGCAGGGCTGAGTGTGGGTGTGGGCAGTGCTGGGTGTGGATGTGGTCAAGACCTGTAGTCCAGTGATTACTCCTGAGTGTGGGTGTGGTCAGGGCTGCTGTGGGCGTGGTCAGGCCTGAGTGTGGGTGTGGGCAGGGCTGAATAGGTGGGGGCAGTGCTGGGTGTGGATGTGGTCAAGACCCGTATTTCAGTGATTAGCCCTGAGTGTGGATGTGGTTGGGGCTGGGTGTGGGCGTGGTCAGGCCTGAGTGTGGTTCTGGTCAGGGACTGGGTGTGGGTGTGGTCAGGGCTGCTGTGGGCGTGGTCAGGTCTGAGTGTGGGTGTGGGCAGGGCTGAATGGGTGTGGGCAGGGCTGGATGGGTGTGGGCAGTGCTGGGTGTGGATGTGGTCAGGACCTGTATTCCAGTGATTAGCCCTGAATGTGGATGTGGTTGGGGCTGGGTGTGGGCGTGGTCAGAGAGCTGCATGTCACAGGGCAGTTTGCGTCAGTGCACAGACAGGGAGGGACAGGCAGATGGCAGGTATTGGAGGCGACCCTGAACCATGAATGGCCACTCATGAGAACCTTGTCTAATGGGCTGCACCTTCAGCCAGTTCAGTTTGGGGAGGCTGGTGAGCAGAGACTGCTGATAGACAAGGCAAGAGAACTCAGAGTGAGTGGCTGTCACTGCGAGTGTGGAGCATGAGTGCCACTTCTTTGCCTGGCCTCATGGCCAATTGGACTGGCTCAATTCTGGAACTCTAAGCCACTTATTTGAGGGCAAGGCAGTCACCACTCTTGTGTTCCAAGCACCTGGTGCTAGGTCACAAGTTCAGGGTCTTGGGTTTCAGGCAACAAAATCTGATTGACTAATATCAGCAAGAAGGCTTGTGGGGGGTGGGGAAGCCTTTCAGAATCCAGGTAGAGCCGAATCCCTAGGTCCTGGGATGGGCAGGACCAGGAGAGTACAAAAGACCTGCTCTCTGGGGTGCTGCCCTCAGAAGACTGTTTTTCTCTGCCCAAGAGTTCGCTTCTGGGAGAGCCTGACTCCACATGGGAGCGAGTCCATCTCCACCACCAGCCAGGCAGTGGGCACCGGCCGAAGCAGAGTGGAAGCCTGGCTAGAGCAGAGCACAGACAGGGCTCCCGGTTCCACAGTGTCCTTTAGGAAACTGACCTGAGCCCAAGGCCCTCGACCATCTCCCTCCTGTCCCTCACCTGTGTGACACTGCAGTGTCCCTTCTACAGCAGAGAATCAGTCCTCTGCCTGGCATTAGGGCTCCCCGGGCAGCCCTCCACTGGGCCATTGCAACCTTCTTAATATATTCATAAACCACTACTGAGCCCCTGGTGCATCCTCTGCTGTAGCACCTGTGGGTGTGGGAAAGAAAGGAAGACAGAGTCTTTCCGTGTGGAGCGTACACTCCAGGGGGGCCCAGTCCGTGCGTCAGCACAGAGAAGGCATTCCTCTGTGTGCATGCTGTGGGGATACCAGACTCGGCTCAAGTGTCCCCACCTCTAGGGAGCCATCTCCTGCCCAACTGATGTCACCCATTACCCAGCTCTGACCCCTGAAATGAGAACCTCCTGGGAAGTCTTGACCAAAGAAAGTGCTTGATCAGCGTGCCTTGAGTGAGAAACAGAACCAAGAAAATGAGTTCTTCCTGTCAGCCCAAGGTCACATTGAGGGATGGAGTGCCATCGTGCTTTTCGGGATTGTGGGTCACTGGAAGAGTCTATTTTTCTAGATAACGTAAGACACTGCCTTCTTGCCTTCAGGAAGCACCAGGGCTGGTGGCAAGCCTTGGAAAGCAGACTACGGGGAGAGCTGATAAGCAGAGGATTGGAAAAGATGCTCTGGGCCCGCGAGAGGAAAGAGAGGTAACACTGAGCTCCTGCTCGGGGGGTGGGGGGGCACGGCAGGGGGTCCACCTGGTCCTTGTGAGCAGGATGGGGAGGCGAGGGGGCCCAGAGTCACCCGGGGAAGGGTGACTCCAAGCATACCCTCATTCCTTCCCCAAAGACTGCAATCTTTACTCAGTGGACTTAGTTTAGGAGCTGAAAATAAGCCTTTAGCTGTCAGTGGGAGAATGTTCTCCTACACTTATTAGCACTTTAGCGACCGGACTTATTTTAACCAGTGGCTGTTTGCAGATGAGATGTCATTAGAGGGAGAATCAGTCTTTATTGCTATTTGGACTTTATGGTTTACAAAGCCCTCTGCGGTCTTACTGCACGGAGCCTCCCAGCCTTCTAGAAAGTGGGGGTGATATCCCTGGAGCTCCGGAAGGTCAGAGGGACAGGTGCCAAGCCTGCAGCAGGAAACGGTGGCCTTAGGATTTGGGACTGTCTGGCTCACCCCTGGGCTACCAGGCCCGGGATTTCCAGACCTTCAAGCGCCTTTCTCTTTTAGCTGTGGTTTCTGCACCCCTGGATGTCAGAGGAGAATTAGGGGTGGGTGGTTTTAGGTTGCTATGAATAGTTAGCCGAGTACATTCGGTGTTTCCTCCTAGAAACCTTTGGGGAAAGAGTGACATCAGGTGGATTCATAACAGGCTAGAAAGTGATGACGTGTGCAGTGTGTTCCATGCAAACAGTTGATGTCCAGGGGAAGCGTGTGTCCTGAGTCCTGCCCCTTCCATAACTTCTCAGCTGAGGTAAAGGGGCCGAGGCCAAGCTTGTGAATTATCTGTGATAAAAATCCCGGAACCATTGATGATAGTTTGGATGTCAGAATTTAGTCCCAAAGAACTTAGATCAAGATTTAGAGCTCAAGCCAAGAAAGTCGAGTACGAGCTGTATAAACGTCAAGTGCCCCATGAAAGGAGCAGAAATCAGTTCCTCCAGATTAGGATGGGGAAGTGAAGGCACTCCCAGGCTGCACTGATAACAGTAGGGGGAGTACAGATCAGGAGAAATACTGCCCCCACCCCCCTACCCACCCCAACTCTGGCTCACTCTGCTAGCCTTTGCCCTGCCCGGAGGCACTGGGGAGCCATGGAAGGAGGAGGAGAGATTGGATCACCCAGAGCTGGGTTGGAATCCTTGTTCAGATACATACCAGCTGCAAGGGCGGGAGGCAAGGGAGCCTCATCTGCCACGTCTGTCCCAGAAGGGCCGGCAAGCTTGTCAGTGACTTCCAGGAAGTGACCTCCAGTGGCGTGGCCTCATCATGGACCGCATGGGCACAGAGAGAATCCTGGGGCGTTTAGGTGGTGTGGGGCCCTTGGAAGGAGTCCTGGCCATTATCAGAAGCATCCAGGGAGCCAGGGGCTGGACCACTCGTGGACAGGATTCCAGCCATCCTGTTGTGGGACATTCCCTCAAAGTGTAACTCTTCTGCTTCAGACACGGTTTGCCTGACTGCTAACTCTTGCCTTGCAATCAGATCTTATCAGCCTGCTTTTGGTATGAAGCTCACAGGCCCTGATGTCCTGGTAAATGTTGAATAATTGACTGGTGAGGAGAGAGCTGGGGGTGGGGTTGGGGGGGGGGGAGGGTTCTGGTCTGTAGCATGTACCAGTTTCCATGCTATCCCTCCTCTGGCCAGGGCTGATGTCAGGCTCGCGACATGATAGCAGCAGACTCACAAAACTCCTCAAAGCTCAGAGTCATGAGTCAGAAAGAGTGGTCTGCACACATAATTTGCCACAGGCTTCAGCTAATTTCAGGGGCAGTCTCGTGATCCCAGGGAAAATGTCTTCCATTAAAATGACACGTGATTGCGGGCACCTGGGTGGCGCAGTTAGGTGACCAACTCTTGATTTCGGCCCAGGTCATGATCTCACGGTCTGTGCATCGGGCTCGTCACTGATAACACGGAGCCTGCTTGGGATTCTTTCTCTCACTCTCTCTCTGCCCCTACCCTGCCTGTGCACACGAATCTCTTCTCAAATAAGTAAATAAAACTTTTAAAATTAATTAATTAATTAAATGGTCCTGATTGAGGACCTGAGGGCCCAAGGTGGCGAGAGCTCCATCAGGACACTGAGGAGGCCGCTTACCAAAAACAACCCATCTGATCTTCTGTTCTTCCTCCAGCATATTGCAGAAGCCTTGTCCCCCTCTCAGAGAGAGGCTGGTATTACCTGGAAAAGGAGGCTGGCCACACCTGTCCCTGGAGTCCGTCGGAGAAGTGGCCGCTGTGCCCATCATGGGGGCCGAAACCATCGACTTATTGAACACAGGCGAGAAGCTCTTTATATTCAGAAATCCCAAAGAGCCAGAGATCTCACTGCATGTTCCTCCCAGGAGAAAGAAGAAGAACTTCCTGAATGCCAAAAAGTCCATTTGGGCCTTGGGCACGGACTAAACCAAAAGAAAGCTCGCAGGAGTCTGAAGACAGATTTTTTCCTCCTACCCACCTGTGTGTGTGTGTGTGTGTGTGTGTGTGTGCATGCACATGCACACACGTGCATTTGTACATAGAAATTGCAAACACAGAAGACACGGACACCCCCAATATCCACGACTTTCAAGGACTCGGTTCAGTCTGGTCTCTGTCCTCAGCATCACGAGGGACATGATGAGACATAGGACCGGCCTTGAATGCTTTGGTGCTACCTCTCTGGGGGTGCGGAGGAGACCCCAGCCCCCCGGGTTGTACCCCTGCACCGCCTGGCTGCATATGGGCTGAGTGTCCAAGTGAGGCTCTCCATTTCCGCATTTTGTATTTGTTACATATTCTGTTTTTATCAAGGGAACATTTGAAAATAAATTACCAAGAGCTCGTCTCAAAAATAAACTACACAATGCTCTTCTTAGTGGAACTTGGTTTTGCTTTATGTAGGGACCATGTATTTTTAATTACCTCTTGCACGTTGTTATATTCAGCAGAGATTTGCCCCCTGTCATGCCAGTGCCCAAAAAACCTGGGGTAGACGGTCTCCAACTCGAACTAGAGTTATTTCCACCTTTTGCAAGTAAGGGAATCCAAATGCTGAAGAGGGCAAGGTGATGTGTGCAGGCTCACAAAGTCAGTAAGTAGCAGAATCGGGGTACCTACGCTTTATGGCCCCCCAATTCACGCCCTTTTCCCTGGACCCGATCAGTGGGCACATTTGCCAACAGACAGACTGCCCACGGGTCCTTGTGTTTCACAGGGAGCTTCGATCTGCTCTCGCCCCTCCCACCATCACAGTGTGGTCAAGCCGATGATGTCTTGTTGCGGTTGGACTGGCTCATTGCATGAGCTCTTCTAAGAGCCAAGGAAAGAATGCAATCGCAGTGCATCTTTCCTGAGGGTAGGAAATGATCGAGAAGGGAACCCTGTCACCAGCCAGGGGAGAACAAGGGATCCCGATGAAGCGTTTGTTGCCTGAGAGTCACTTCCGCTTCTAGCTACTTCAGTCCACTTCTAGTCCTCACTAGTGCCCCAACAAGGTGGGCATCACTACTCCCGTGTTACAACCAAGGAAGCTGAGACTCAGAGTTTCAGTAACTTGCCTCTGATCACGCCACCTCCAGGGGAAGGATATGGTTTTGAAACCAGATCTCCTAACTTTCAAACCCTTATCTGCCACGAGACATTTTGTTGGTGACCAGAAGGCCACATCTTTGCAGTTTCCCACCAGCATGCATGTAGCATGGTGAACAGGGACCTTTGCTGGGAGACAAAAATCTTCCATAATGAGCTGTCACGTGGCCACGTCACTGCATTACTGTGCACGAGCAGGGCGTTCGGATGTAGGCGAGAAGAGTTGTTGGGGCCAGCTTTCGCATCAGAAGGCCCAGTGAGCAGAGAAGGGGCAGAGAGCAGTGATTCTCACACATAGGGTAGTGGAGTGGAAAGTGCATGGTCTTTGGTATAACATGGCTTGAGTTCGTCCTGCCCTGCCACTCATGAGCTGTGTGTCCCTGGGCAAGTTACCTGACCTTTCGGAGCCTCGTGTTCCTCACCAACAAAATGGTGATGAAAATCCCTTTGAAGATTAGATGGACTGGATCTGTAAAGCGCTTGATGGTAGCGTGGGCCTGCGACATCAGTGTCTTTCTCTACCCCTTGAAGGTGACCCATCTGACTTTCTAATAATTCCCTGCATCTACAGCGCTTTGCTAGATGTATGCATGGTTGAAAGTAGATTGCACACAAGGATCTCAAAGATAGCTCAAAATTATGGGCCGAAGGCTGATTGAAGAGGCTATTAGCAACAACAGGAGGTGCCCAAGCTGTTTAAAATACAGCACTTCCACCTAATAATAACTCCCTATTGTAACAGACAGAGAAAGACTAACCATTGATTTGCTTTCTCCAAACCTACTGCATGGCAAACGTGAAGACATGCTGGGGAAGTCTGTGCTTCTGTAATCAGGTAAATCAGATTCAAATACTGGTAGGGCAACTTCTGAGCAAGTCACTTTACCACTCTGAACCTCGGCCTCTTCATCTGTAAAGCAGGGGTCCTAATACCTACCTGAGAGTAAAGATGTCATAGAGTGCAGATACTGGCTTTTAGGTTCATTGCATCCAATAAAATATTGGCATATGATAAATGTAGCTTATTTGTTTTGTTATATTTTTACGTGCTTACAAAATTGGCCTTTGTGGCTCCTTTCATTCCTGTTGACATTCTAGGTGAATACAGTGACCCTTCTAGAGGGCTGTTCCTGCCACAATGCATGGAAACCTACTCATGAGAGAGAAGCTCTTGGGAACTTGGATGGAGAGGACTTAGTTCAAGTTTGAGCTCCATTACTTACAACTGCATGAAATTGAGAAAATGGTGCAACCTTTCTGCAGCTCAGCTTGCTGTGGATTCTGTCTACTGTGATGAGTTTAGTCTGAGTCGACAGACACAAAAATAAGTCAGTATTAAATGCAAGGGATTAAATAGATCTATAGAAACCATGCTGTGGGATTTGGGAGAGAGAGCCAACCTGACTGGGGATATTTGGGAACAGCTTTATGCTTTTGACCCCAAATCTTTATCTCCAGACTAGACTTCTTCTTGGGCTCCAAACACTGATGTCTATAGCTTGCTGGACATTGCCTCCTGGACCCCTCGTAGATGCCTCAACCTCAGAATGTCCAACCCTGAACTCATCAGCTTCCTATAAAACCCATTTCAACATGGATGTCCCCTCTCTGAGTGGATGGTACCAAGCTGGAAACCGACAAGTCACCCTAGACATCTTCCTATTTCTAAGCCCCCAGATACGATGTCCAGATCTTGCTGGTTGTTATCACTGCACTAGCCTTGACATCTATGCCCTCTTCTGCCGCTAGTCCTGCCCGCGCCAGGGCGTCACCCCCTTTCTCCTGGTTGGTGCCAGCACCTCCTTCCCTCCAGGCTGGCCCGGTCACTTTGCTCCATGGTGGCCATATCTAAGTCACTCCCTTGCTGAAAGACCTCCAGAGACTCTCCATTTCTTCCAAGACCTCCGTGAATTGTCCTCTGACTGCCTTCCAAGCTGTGTCTATAGAGAAAGCTCCTGCTTTCCAAAGAGCCATTGAGTGACAGTATGACAAAGGATGAGGTGGATCTGGGTTTGCCTCTTGGATCTGCCACTTGCTGGGTGGCAGAAGTGAAGCCACCGATCTCCTGGGAATCTGTTTGCCCACCTGTTATAGAATTAATGAAATGATACCTATAATGTACCAGACACAGAACACACAGTATTTGTTAGCTATTATTACTGTCATAGAAAGTTTTTATTTTTAAAGTTTTTTTTTTATGTTTCTTTTTGAGAGAGAGAGAGAGAGAGAGAGAGAGAGAGCGTGCAAGCAGGGGAGGGGCAGAGAGAGAGGGAGATACAGAATCAGAAGAAGGCTCCAGGCTCTGAACTGTCAACACACAGCCCGATGCGGGGCTCGAACCCAGAGACTGAGAGATCATGACCTGAGCCAAAGTTGGATGTTCAACCTACTGAGCCATCCAGGTGCCCCAAAAGGTTTTATTTTTTTAAAAAGTTTTTTTTTTAATGTTTATTTATTTTGAGAGAGTGAGAGAGAATGTGTGTGAGAAAGAGAGCAGGGAAGGGACAGAGAGAGGGAGAGAGAGAGAGAGAGTCCGAAGAAGGCTCTGCACTGTCATCACAGATCCTGACATGGGGCTTGATATCATGAACATGAGATCATGACCTGAGCCGAAATCAAAAGGTGGATGCTTAACTGACCAAGGCACTCCTGTCATAGAAAGTTTTTAAACAGAGGAGTGCCATTATCCAATTTGTTTTAGGAAGATAAACGCCTTGTGGAGGACGGACCAGAAGTAGAGGCAGTTGCTTAGGCTTTTCATTGACTTCCATTCTCCAACAAGCAGCCGCAGGTAGGGAGTGAGAAGATCCAGTCCTGTCCCTGCCTTGTGCACACCCTCGCTTCTCTGGCCCTCGTTCACCAAAGGCAATGCCAACCACCACACCACCAACAACCACAATACTGACTGTTACCACTGAGTTAACCTTCATTTGGGAAGTGTCCTCAGGGAAAGGGGTTTCCTTCCCCAGCCCCAGGAGATGAACCATCACTGGCTCCATGCAGACTGTGAATTCAACAATCTGAATTCTAACTGGGATGTTTGGACCATTATATTTCATGTGTTTTTTGATATAGTTGTAATTGTGTTTTAATCTACCAAGTTGCTATTTGGTTTTTCTTTAATCTGTTACTTATTCTTTTTCCTCCATTCCTGCCTTCTTTTCATTGAGTATCTTATGATTCAGTTTATTTTCTCTATTGAATTAATGTATGTGTCTTTTTAGAGGTTGCCTTAGAGTTTATAATATACATCTTTGACTAATAATTTACCACCTTCAAATAGTCCTATGTGCCTTCATGTAAAATGTAAGAATCTTACACTATATACTTAGGACTCCGTTTTCCACCTTTTCTGCTGCTTTTTGCCACATTTTGCTTCTATTTGTGTTAAACTCCACATAAGTGGATATTATCTTACTTTTCAGAAGTAGTTATCTTTTAAGGAGATTTAAAATGAGAAAATTGTATTTTCAGGGTGGCTGAGTGGCTCAGTCAGTTAAGTGTCTGACTTTGGCTCAGGTCATGATCTCACGGTTCATGGGTTCAAGCCCCATGTCGTGCTCTGTGCTGACTGCTCGGAGCCTGGAGCTGCTTCAGATACTGTCTTCCTCTCTCACTGCCCCTCCCCCACTCACATGCTGTCTCTCTCTCTCTCAAAAATAAAAAAACATTAAAAATTTTAATAAATAAATTGAGAAAATTGTGTTTTATGCTCATGCAAATATTTACAACTTCTGATGCTTTTTTAAAAAAAAAAATGTAGATCTGTATTTCCATCTTGTATCATTTTCCCCCTACATGATGTGTGCAACATTTCTTCTAGAGTAAGTTTGCTGGTAATGAATTTTCTCACCCTTTATGTCAAAAGTCTATTGCCCTCATTTTTGAAAGATATTTTTACTGAGTATAGAATTCTAGGTTTGCAGCATTTAAAATTCTCTCTTTCACTACTTTAAAGATGTCACTGTCTTCTGGCTTGCATGGTTTCTGACAAAATGTTTGTTATATTGGTTTAAGGTTCCTCTCCATAATCTGTATTTTTTTCCTCTGCCTGTTTGAAATTTTTTTAATATAAGAGCAGCCTCTATTTTTTTTTTTTTTAATCAGAGGTTTTCAGCAGTTTGACCATGGCTGCCCTCGTGTGGTTTTCTCCTTGGGGTTTGCTGGACTTTGGGGGACTTGTATCATTTTCACCAAATATTAGAAACATTTTGGTCTTTATATTTTCAAATAATTTTTTGTCCCACCTCCTTCTCTTCTCCTTTGGGAAATC